TTATATCATATTGAATCATTTGCAATTACTATTAATATCTTTTATAAGCGTCATTTTTAATCCTACATTCATTAATTCCAGTTACCTTATCTACATTCGTGGGATCATTATTGATCCCAAAATTCAAAAGATTTCTGAAATATTATAAAATAATTTATTGAAAAACGGTTTAGGATATAAGCAATTAGACTGTTAGAAATGCATTCAAATTTTATTGAGATTTTTTTATTTTAAAATAATATTATTAAAAATTAGAGAAAATAACAACAATTATTACTCTTCTTATTAGATATATTATAATATATATTACAAAAATAAAAGTTATATAAAAAGTTATATAAAAATAAAAACACTAAAATAAAATATAAAAATAAAAAACACTTTATATTTAAATTAAATAGATTTATATGTAAACAGATAGAATTATAAACAGATAGAATAAAATTGTGTAATAAGAAACAAAAAAAGCAAGACTTTTTCACGAAAAATTTTTTTTACTAAAAATTCAGTTTTATGAAAACTATTCTGTTTCACAAACAGTACATGTAATATTTACACTCGAGTGAGTTTACAAACTATTTTAGAGCATTTAGAGCATTTAGAGCATTTAAAGCATCTTTCAAAATACTTTATATCATATTAATTCTAGGACACAAATAACAACGACTATCTTTCTTATATTGACTTATTGAAGATAATTTTTTTGATATCAATTTTTGGTCATTTAAAAAGTTATCTACTTTGAATTTTAGTTTTTTAAGAAATTTATTATATTCAGATCACAGATCTTTTTTTTTCTGAAATATGTAGGACTAGTTCTAAACCAATTTCCTTTATGTATTGCTGTCGTCTTATCTTCTTCTCTGAGTTTGACCTAATAAACAAAATTGTGTTCGCAACGCACTAAGCGCAAACTTTGATCAGGAAACGAATAAGATGATCCAATGTAATGATCCAATAATCTTCGATTTATTCAACACACAACGATATGATCAACGGCACTCATAATAGTTACACAAAGGACACAACAAACGTTCTTGTTCTTTCAGTTTCTGACTGTACCTAACACAATTGAGACTGCACTGAGGTAAACTACTTTTGAAATGTCAGCGATAAATTGGACCGCAAGCGACGATCCGAACAGTTCTACGAAACAAGCGATTTCGAAGAATTGCGAGCGGATGTAAATTACACTTGAGAACTAGCCACCGACTGACTGAGCTCCGCACCAATAGTCAATTTATAGAGATGTGACTCTAAATTGTTCCTCGCGCCGACCGTTATGGATTCCTCTGCCTCAGAGCACATCACGCCGCAATTATGTGTCGCTCGTCAATTCGCGGATCACAGATGCTGGCAAGCGCGATTGATCGCGCTTTGAATTCGCCGATCTTCGGTGTTAGCGCGATGGCACGCGCACATTGGACGCCGCTGATATGCGCGACAATGTCAAGAACAAAGAGAAACGCGTGATTATTCTGACTACACTAGTGTATAGAGTATTTGCAGTCGTCCTTTTTCGCAATCCTCGATGCAGTGCTATGCACTATTGCATCAGCGTCCGTGCGGTGCACTATTTCTACCATTTTTAAACACATTGAAAGCTAATATGTTCAATGTAGCTGCGAAAATTGCACATGGTCAACGCTGTGTTCTTCGCTCTACTGAATAATTTGCACATTTTTGATCTAGCATTCATTTCTCTTTTTATCTTATTATAAAAATCAATAATTTCTGGCTTGTGTCTGAAGATTCAGTACTGCATCATGGTGTATAATCAAGATCATAACAATACTTTGGTTCTTTTTCAATACGTAGAACAGTAATGTTATGTCACGGACAAATTCGAACAAAGACTAGTTGATTTTATGATTTTTGTTTTGGTAAAAATTCAGGTAGAATCTCACGCTTATTTTTATACAGTTCCAACGTAAGTTAAGCCTTTTTTTTTAAGTTGCTTTACTAACTCAGAGGAAAACCAATTGTCTCCAATAATGTTTCTGTTTGTAAAGAATGGATAATTAATTATAAAATAAACTCTATAGGTATCGAGACTGAATTTTTTCGTTGAACTGGAGATTTAATGTGTATATAAATGCATATTATACAAATAATAAGTTTTTGCATCATAAATGTACATTACTTGATGCCATATTTTGCTGGCTTAGATTTCATATATATTCTATATATATTCTATATATATTCTATATATATTCTAAAAATACAGCAGCCTCTGAATGGACACAACATTTCATCCACTGTGAGATATTCTGAACAAAAATAATTATTTTGATAGTTCTCAATAAATTTTTTGAAAACTTTCGAAATAAGAACAGATCTATCTTGTTCTTTACGATTTCTTATGGAAATATCATCAAAATGCAACACAGACAAAAAAATAAATAAAAATCTATTCAAACTTATTGTCACAGTCATGACCTTATTGTCATCCTTCCCTATTCCGTCTGATGTCCACAGAGTCGTACGTCTTGATGATCAGTTTGAAAGATCCAGCAAGCAGTAATAAACCTATAAATACTCTCATTTCTGTCATACTGACATGATTGATATATGATGCCTTTGTTTTATTTCTTTCAAAAAATTCATTTCAAATTATTTTCTGATTAATACAATCCACAATGATTTGTAAAATGTCAAAAGTTTATCATCAATTTATTATCAATAGTTGCTAAGATTCAAGCGGCGACATATTATTTTTCAAAAGAGCAAGTCTTTTTGTTCCAGAACGTTAATTTACTATATTATGCCGTCTTGTGCGTGAAGATGCTAGCGGGATTTTAATCTATTTAAATCTGTTCTTGTCATAATAATAGCTCCGCGATTGCCCTCCATTATTTTTTTTCTTCCTCAAAAAATGAAGAATCATTATCTGACAGATCTATTTCATTTATAGAATGTTCGCTATTGATAACGAAATTCTCATTATCCGATATATCTTCAACGTCACAAATGTTCAATGTTTGCTCTACGTCAGATTCGTTATTTGAATTAAGAATCCATGTTATTTCATTTTCATTGAGTGATCATGACATTTTCATTATATTTTATTATTACATACATAACCTAAAAATAAAGAAAAATAATAAGTTCTCGAGTCTCTGTGTTTCCTGCTGAACGTCTTTATCGCGCGTTCTTCTTTGTGTTTTTTAATTACTCATCACAATTTCGTAGATCTACTGCATGCTTAATACGGTTTCATCCGGTCATGCAACTGGGTTCAGGACGAATCCCTGGACGAGGATTCGTTCGAGAACACACATTGGGTGTTGCCCATAAGCCATAATTTTACTATCAATATCATGATATGGCATCGTGGGTATGGATGTTACACAATCAAGTAGCGCTGATGTTAAGAAATGGTCTGTTCGTAAATATGTATGCCGATGCGGAGTATAGCGTATAGTACGCTTCAAGCGGACTATTGTTCGGATCACCAGATCTCGCGGTATCTGTCGGAGCATGATTTCGGTAATTATAGTCGCGGATATTTTCGCGCATTTTTCTAATCTTGAGGCGATCGCGAAGCGGGCGCAATTACCTAGCAACGGCAGTCGTAAATCACGCGGCTGTCAATATTTACGCGTATGATTCGTACACGGATGGTACTTGGCAGATCTATCGGTTTTCTAGCGGCCTATTATCGCGTGGATTATGGCGCGTAAAAATGATTAAAGTTTAGCGAGTGCATTCCGATTTTTCGGCGTGAAAGGACTAGCGGCAGGAATGCCCGGGCGATGGCAGGAAACCCTCACCACGGCGATGCGCTGTATACAAAAACTTACGGAGCGCGATCAGTCAGGAATACCCGGACGGAGACAGATTACTCTCACCTGCGGCGATGCGTTCTCTCGAGCGGATACTGTAAGCGGACTAGAGATTAACAATTGCGTGCCGGTTTACCGCACCGAGCGGAGCAGGGAACACCCCAATTCGTAGACTTCTCGCAGTTCCAGGAAAGCGGCGGTCAGTTCAGAAGATAGAGAGATTTGCGTTAGCCGGGAATTTTCTGGCGACGGCAGGATACTCTCGGGTTTACGCTTAGCTTCTCTTTAGGAGCGGAGCGCAGATCGTTCGTGGGAGCGAGTCCAAGAAAGATCTGTCTGATAGAGCGGAGGAACAGCTTTTTATACCTCCCACAATACGGTATTCGGTCGGATTCGGAGCGATTTGGATGGGATCGTGGGTGATAATCAGTCGCTTCTCATTAGTTAATTGCTTTTTCTAATCTCCGGCAGTTTTCGGTGATCTTCGGTAGAATGCTCATATAGCCTCTCTTTTACATTGTATATATGTTTAATTCATATTTTTTTAAACTGTGTTTTTCGAGATATTCATAGATTTCTATATATTTTCAGCATCTCATGTATTTATATTTTGCATAATATAAAAATATAAAAATATAAAATAAAATATAAAAAAAATATAAAATACATTGATATATAGATAGAATAATTTAGAACAACTATTATCCTTGTAAGATATTTTCTTCGTCAAATTCTGAATTGATTAATTCTAAGTCAATCGATCCGAATTAGTTTCCTTTTTAGCAAAACTTGACATAAAGTTTAGTTTTTGAGTTATAAAAAAATTAATGGTTTGCGTATTGAGTATTGGAAATAAATAGGGACGACGCAATTCATTCATTCAGATGCGAGTGCTTTGCATAAGCGCTAGCATACGATGGTAAGTTCCGCCAGTTTTGCCTGCCTTCTTATATTTGATATATGATTAACTATTTTTAATTCTAACAATTCAAAAATTAAGCTTTAACTAAAGTTTTGCTAAAAGAAATACTATCTCAAAAAAATTTAGTCAAAAGTATATCCCGTAAAAAACAAGAGCTCGTTTTGAATCAAGTATAATATAGTTATTTTAGTCCAACATTCACCAAACTAATGCGAAAATTGATATATAATTAATATTTTAAAATTTTTATAAATCTTATTGCTATAATGTAATAATTACGTATTATGATATACCTTTAGTTACTGTCTTGAGGTCCCAAATAACTTTTTGCTTCTCAGGATCAGGATTAACCAAGGTGATTAAAACATCATATGTAAGACTGGCTGGGAATCGCCTCCTATTTTCTTCATCCAAATTATATAAAGTAGGTTCAGCAAGCGTATTTTTCGTCAGTGCCAACGATTTATCATGCAGAATCCATTCTGACAATACTTGCATCAATTTAGCAATGTCTGAAAATATATTGATACTTATATAATATCATGAGAAAATTTTATTTATTAGAAAGTTTCAGGTTTTGTTACAAACATATTTGTTGACATTAATTTATTCAGCATCTCTCGTGTAAATTTCTAACAAGATAGAAGAATGATAGAAGAATTTACAGTTGTACTCCGGAGCATCTGTTTAAGAATAATTGAATGCAACCAAGAGAAACCTTAGAGAACCTCTCTAAGTCAAGATGTAAATTAATGTGTTGATAGCTAAATGATATGAAAATGGCTGCATTGCAAACAACAACGGCAAACAATACTTCCTAGATATTGAGCACCCTCTGGAATATATATGCCAAGCATTCACAACTTTGCTGAGATAATATCGCATGATCGCGATACTCGTGAGAATATTATGGAAAACAGCGTTAAAAGCAATAAAAATCTAAAATCTTCTAAGATTTCTAAGATTTTTAAGTGATTTCAGAATTGTAATTAGGTATGTACAAAATGTTCGATCGTACAGAGCACTCCCTCTCGAAGGGACGCGCTTCAGTCAGTCTACAATATTAAAATTGTAATGATGTACATTTTGTCTCGCATTGTTCCACGGCCGTCGTACCGCCGCACAGTGAGGTCAAATGAGAAATCGTGTTTCATAATTGTCTAGAGTTCACAAATCTTAACCGATTTTAATGTTTTTTTTTTTAAATTAAAGCTTATTCAATTGCGCAGAAAGTTAAGGAAGCCGAGTTTTTAATTGCACTTTTGTTTCAAAATGGCGGACGTAAAATGGCGTAAAAAAGCAGAAATCGTACTTTATAATTGTCTACAGCTTGCAAATCTTAATTGATTTTAATGTTTTTTTCTTAAACTAAAGTTTATTCAATTGCGAACAAAGTTGTCGAAGCCCATTTTCTAATTGTCCTCTGTTTTAAAATGGCAGATGTAAAATCAGTTAAAAAGTAAAATGCATTTATAATTTCTAATCGATTTATACTAAATTGTACTAAATTAAATATATATATAATTTTGTCATCACAGATTGAATCTAATATTAAAATTCAAAATTAATTATAATAAATATTACTGCTGTGAACAATAAAAATATTAATATATATATATATATATATATATATATATTAATAAATAAAAATATTAATAAAATGAATGTGAATATTATATATGTGAATATGTATACAATGTTACATATGTAAATATTACATTTCTATATAAATAAATATAAACATATAGAAAAATATAAAATTATAATAATTATTTTAATTAAAAAATTATTAATTATTATTAACACAAACAAGAAAAGGACACAGACTTGGGACCGATTTTGAAAAAGCTTATATATGTTAAAGTACTCTAACTAGAAGAATACTTGAGCAAAAGGATAGGACGCCATACTCAACTGTTTTCGAGAAAAACTGATTTATAGCGTTTCTTTTATATCAACCGCGTTAAGCCTATTGTCGCCGAGATCGCGCACTCAGTATTGTATGTACTACCAATCTGTCGATACGGGTTCGATTCTTGCCTATTACATTTTTTTTAATCTAAAAAATATTTATTTATTATATTATTATTATGTTAAATATGTGTTATATTACTATGTAAAATAAAATTAATTTAATTGACAATTGTTATTTATTTAAAATTTTCACTTTTAATTTCAATTAATAATTTACTGAACCTAATTTTTATTCAATTAACAATCTTATTATTTTATGCATGTTTTACATGCATAAATAATAAGATTGTTAATTGAATAAATTAACAATCTTATTATTTTATGCATGTTTTACATGTTTTGCATGTTTTTCAATATAAAACTACTATAAAATGCCACTTTTAACATAGTTTAATATAGTACATTTTAATTAAATTTTAAAATAGTTAATTTAATAAGGAATTTATAAATAAATACGAAAGATGTTATGCCAAAACTTTTATTCATTTTCATCATTTTCATCATTTTCATTATTATTAATACTTGCGCTCACTGCCTTTGTTCAAAAACAAGATCAGACGAGATTTCGAATTTCTTTGTGTAGAGATATATGTTACAGTAGAGAAGTAATCTGGAAGGGAGGCCAAAAACTATTACCTGATGACATTAGGTATATTTATATACAAATATTAGGGTCGGAGCAGTGAGTAACTTAACGTTGAATAAAAAATTACAGACCAAATAAAATTACGATGAATAAAATACTTCTTGTATTAAATAATAACTATAATAACTATTAATTATAATAATAACTGTAATAACTATTTTAAATTTAAAAATAAATTTAAAAATAAAGCTTTTTACGTTTCTACAAGACTGAGTTTAAAATTTTTTGAATAATTAATATTACCTTTATGTTACTTCATAATATGAGATTACGAAAGTTACTGATTCCGTTTCTTTGTAATTATTAGATACGAAAAAGAACTAACAACAACATTCTTATTAAATGTTTAATACAAGAAGTTCTAAGATAAACTTATATTCTCGGTGATAGCGAATGCAAAAAATATGCTGAAATTGCAATGGCATTTGTCAAATCCGACGTAATTATTAGTTCTTCTATTGTAATATTTTTACAATATTTACAATACACGTCATAGTTTAAATAAAAATATATAAAAATATATAAAAATACAAATTATAATTTTATGATAAAATGTTTCAGAAAAAATAAATTGTTACCATGGTGGAGGGAATGGATTCTGTGGTTTATCTGTATCTAATATTTCTCTTGACAAACTATTTAAAGGATAAAATTTTGAAAATTAAAAATCTAGATGTTTAAAGTTGTAACTTGCTATAATGATATTTCTAAATATAAGTACAATAACTTTCAAAATATATTTAGATACATTTCTAAATATATATTTGTTTTTAAATATTTAATTTGATAATTTTATTTTAAGATCATTTTAAATACAGATTTAAGATAACATTA